AATTGTTGCTTTATTTGTTCGATTCGAAATATGAAATTAATTCACGGAATTCATTTACAATTCAAATTTACAATCACATTGTCTCAACAGTGTATTTAGGCAATTCCACTGTATACGATGGTTTACGGAAGGAAAGCGAAGGATCCAACACGCGGTTATACGATGGTGTATAGTGGCAGTTTCGATGAAATTGCCAAAATTATGCGTCCGTATGACAATCGAGAAGTGAGATATCATGTCTTGAGGGAGTGCTCAAAAATGGCGGCAGCCATCAACGTTTTGAAAGTTTGAATGTGATGAAAGTGTTGCAGAACGTTGATAGCAGTGAGCCAACGTGGTGTGGTTATATTCGTGGTGTACTGGCGTTATATCCTCATTCGCAGGATGTCGATATCGTCATCGAGTCGACAATTCCTCTCGGTGGTGGCTTGAGCAGTTCGGCTGCTCTTGAGCTCGCAGTGCTTTTCTTCTTGAGACAGCTCATCGAATTTATCGACGATGATGAAATGAGGTAAGTACCATTCTTATTATTCGTTAACGAAATTCTCGTACATTGGCTGTCGATGATTATTTTTTCACATACCGTTTTCACACTATTTTTTCACATACCGTTTTCACATTATTTTTTCACATACCGTGCATATTTTTCATGATTTCTGTCAAAGTGAGGTTACGACTGTTTGACTATAAATGATATTCCATCATTTTGTTTGCATAATTCTCATTTTTGATGGCAGTGTTGTAGTACGCTTTACATTATAGTTACATTTTGATTCGAGACATTCTCAGTGTGGAGTGTGAATATCAAATTTGATCGGATAATTTTTTGAGGCTGTTGATCCACGTGCTCGATTATCAGAAGAATTGCTTTCGTTTCATTCTATCTAAACTCCGAAATGTCTTTGACAATTTGTTTTGTATATTGATTATTTTATCGTGGAGATGGTAAATTTGTGAATGCAACCATAATTTACAGAAGAGAAGATTGTGCGGTGATGTGTCGACGTGCCGAAAATATATTCGCTCACGTTCCGTGTGGTATCATGGATCAGATGGTTGTTTGTCTTGCTGAAAAGGGTCATGCACTCAAAATCGATTGTTGGTTTGTTAATTGAGATTCTGAGAAGTGTACAACTGTTGATTTACTCATTTTGACACCATTCACGAGCGAAAGTCAGTCTCTTGTTAACTCTTGAATGGTGCTGATAGCAAATTACTTTTCTTTTTGGAACATTAAAGTTTTTCCACAAAGTTATTCGCTAATTGTTCAGATGCGAAATTTAAGGAATCTAACTGCTGAATCAGTACCGATTTGTGCGGGTGACGATACAACCTTTTTGGTAACTGACTGTGGTGTGCGACATAAATTGGCGAACTCTGAATATAGTAATCGAAAGGAATCCGTTGAAAATGCTCTCAAGAAACTCGACTGCAAATCATGGCGACACATCCGCGAGGATGCACTCATTGGTTTGTTTTGAAAGATGAATTCTGCATTGTTTATCATGAAAGGTGTGTGTTAGCTGCACTAGTAGAGCACTAGTGAGTATTTGCAACGAAAAGGTCGGTAAGAATCGGTAAGAACTTTTATAACAACTTCATTTATGTGTTGTTGATTTGTCACGTAGCAGGCTTCTGCTACGTAGTTACTCTATTGAAATGAAACGTTTTAATTTTCAGAAAATTCAACAGTGTTGGATGAAATTCAAATGAAACATGCATTGCACGTTGTGAGTGAAACTCGAAG